CCGGGGGCGGGCTGGGGGGAGCGCGTTTTGGCCGGCAGCCCCGCGGCGCCGTAGGGTGCCAGTCCGGCTGCCAGCGGGCAGGGCTCAGGTGGGTGCAGTGGCCGGGCGGCCACCACAGGGCTAGAACCGCGAGCCACCAGCTTAGCCGAGCCTTTGGGCAACGCTTTGGGCAGGACGGGGGCCGGATCCGGCTGGAAACCGTCCTCCTTCATGACCTCTTCGATAATCTCTGCGGGATGAGGAGGGCGTCAGGGCGGCCCCGGGACGGGGGGGACCCCCGAGTCCCCGGTGAGACCCCCCCGGGCTTGCCGGCCCCCCCCCCCCTGTTTGCCCCGAGCCAGGGGAGGGGACAGGACCGGCCGGATCCTGCCTCGTTTCCACCCACAAATACCTCCTTTGCGCTCAGGACAGAAGACGGAGCGGCCATCGGCAGGGGACGAGATGCCCCATCCCCTCCCCTCGACCCCATCGCATCCCCACGGGGGGGTTCGCTGCAGAGCTCTGCACCCCAAATCCTGCTCACGGCCCCGGGGAAGGATGGATCCGGCCACTCCAGGCATGCGAAAAGGGGGGGTCCTGAAGCTCCAGAATCCTGCTCTGGCCGAGGTGCCCCAAAAACACACGGCAAAACTTACCGGCTGCCCGCGCACCTCGGGGTCCACTCACCTAAATCGTCTGCGAAGGTGAAAAAAACCAAACCCTGAGTCTCCCTCCAGCACCTCCCCGAGCCGTGGGGGGCCTTGAGGGGGACCCCCAGGCTGCAGGGGACATGCTGGGATCGCCTCCGGTATTGGGGTCACAGATCGGGAGGGGACAGCGGGATCTCGGGGTGGGTGGGGGTCTCACCGGTCACGGGTGCGGCGTGCGCCATGGCCAGGCCGGGATCCTGCAGGGCAGCTCCTGCGGGGATGCGCCGCTGTCACCCCGGGGAGCAGGACTTGGGGGGCGGGGGGGCGCAGCGTCCCCAGCGAAGGGATCAGAGCTCCCCCAGAAGAGGGACCGGGGGACCCTCAGGACCATACCCACCCCCAGGAGAGAAACGAAGAGATCCCCAGGACCAGGATCCACCCAAAGAAGGGAGCAGGGGGTCCCCGGGACCGTGACACCTCCCGAGAACAGGGCCTGCCCTGCCTTGCCAGTGCCAGGGGGTCCCCAAGCCCCCCACAGGGCACGAAATGGGGGTCCCTGGGACCGGGACACCCCCCAAGGACAGGGCCTGCCCCCCCTTAGCAGTGCCAGGGGGTCCCCAAGCCCCCCCCCAAACCCCCAGGGCACGAACCGGGGGTCC